GGAGGTGGAGGAGGAGATGGAGGAGGAGGAGATGGAGGAGATGGAGCAGGAGGAGATGAAGGAGGAGGAGATGGAGGAGGAGAAGGAGGAGGAGGAGGAGATGGAGGAGGAAGAGATGGAGGAGGAGGAGATGGAGGAGGTGGAGCAGGGGGAGATGGAGGACAAGCATATAGAGGAGCACTGACTCTCAAGTTGAAGAAAGATCATTTCTTGTAGAGCACGTCACCGAGAAGTCCACTGCGTCCCCAGCATATATCGTCCTGCTGAGGGTGGGTAGGTCGATACAGCGAACATGAGACACAGAGCCACTGATGGACGGATGGACGGATGGACGGATGGACGGATGGACGGATGGATGGATAGATAGATAGATAGATAGATAGATAGATAGATAGATAGAGGTAATGGGTGCTAGACAGGTGATATATTGATATATATAAGCAAGAGATGCCAGGCAGATAAACAGAAGATAGATCAATTAAAGACGGATGGATGATAGACAGACGACGCACAGACCGACACGGGCACTAGATGATAGCAGATAGTCCGACGACAGATAGCTGGTGACCGGTATCCCTGTGGTGACAGGTCGACAGCCAACACACGATGGACTGACTGATGATACATAAACTGGCGCATGACAGACGCCCCGTACCCAGCTCCGCCGTGCCCTCCTGGAGCCCTCTCGCTGTCCCCGTGTCCCCCGCCCTGAGGTCCGCTGTCCCCTCGCCCCCGACGCCCGGCCTCCCCTGACCTGGCCACGTCGCCCCAGCCGCACCTGGCCCCGCACAGGACCCTCCTGTCCCCTCTCTGTGCCCACGACTGTGAGCCCACGTGCGAGACCCCGAGACACGCGGAGTCTGCGTGGCAGCGTCAGCGCTGGGCTGAGGTCGGGGACACGTCCCCCGGCTGAGGCCTCCTCACTGCGGTCCCGGGGATGCCGCCATCACGGGGCGCAGCAGGCCGGGCGACACTGTCGCCTGAGTTCCTTCCTGTAAAGACAAGGCCTCGCCCGCTTAGCCCAGGCTGGCCTCGAACTCAGCACGTGGCCCAGGGTGACCCCCAAGTCACAGAGGCCTTCCTGCCTCAGCCCCCCAAACTCTCCGCAGAGCCTCGCAGCTAGAGCAGGAAGATCCCACGCACAGAGTGTCTCTGGGCCACAGTTCTGTCTTTGGACGTAGCCATCAATCGCAAGATAAACCAAGTTACAGAGATGGGGGAAAACCAGGAAGGGGACAACTGAGGATCCCAGCGTGGCCGTGCAGCCTGTGACCCCAAGAGCCGCGGGAGGGACCCCCAGCGAGGAGGGCCGCTGGGCACCCCGAGAAAGCACAGCGGAGCCTGCTGCCCGCCGCGCTGTGCGCACGGAGAAGGTGACCGCCGTGCTCCGCAGGCGCAGACTAACAAAAATAAAATTGGAAGCGGGCTGGACGTCCTCCTAGTGCGTAGACCGCGGGCGTTTCCTGCAGCTCCCAGGAGCAAGCGACACCGAGAGAGTGAGCTGGCAGGGTCTGGGGGCTGGAAGAGGCTCTGGGAGCCGGCCTCCGGCCTCCGGCCTCCACCACAGCTCCTCAACTGACCACCACGAGCCCCCAGCGCCAGGCGCAGTGGCGCCCGGCCACCATCCCAGCACTGGGGAGGCTGAGACAGGAGGGTCTCCATGACTGAGAGCACATAATGGCCACGCCCAGCCCGTCCCACAGTCTGTGGCCACAGCGTGACGCTCAGAGATCGCCAGGGCTACAGCGCCCTGCCCTGCCCTCCTTCCTGATAGCTGCCCGTCGTCCCCCGGGCCACCCTGCTTCTGGTGGCCACCGCAGGCCAGGACCGTGCCTCCAGGCACTGCTTGCTTCCAACTTGGCAACTTAGGAAAGCAAACATTGTCCTTCGTCCATCTCTCCCACCGCTGCCCTCCCTCAGGGCCAGCGTCCCCTTGTCCCCAGGACAGCTTGCAGAGACATTGCCATCGTGCTGGCCTACTGAAGGGAGCGTGTAACACTCAAACTTTTCCTCTCCTTTTTAACGTTTTGGTACTTTTGCACCAGTTCTGCGCGCTTCCATCCGGCTAGCTGGCCAACGAGCTCACAGACAGCACTACGCAGTGTAACAACCGCTGCTGATTTATGTCACTTAGGAGAAAGATCTCAGGTCGCAACCACTTATCTATAAAAGTTTTGAGTGGATCTTTTTCATAGGTGAGTGCTACTCCATTGTACAAAAATATCACAACTTGGATGAAGGCAAGGAGAAGAGAAAGAAGGGAAAGAGGACTAAGGTGCACAGGCCCAGGGCGGCGCGGGTGAGGGCCCTGCTCATCGCTGCGGCCTAGCGCAAGGGGCAGGCAATGCTTATTTTTTCTCTTCTTTCTAATATGCTGCCATTTTTTGGCCAGTTTTGCTTGTTTTTAATCTAGCAATCTAAACAGCTAATTTGAAGACAACACTAGGCAATACAACGGCCATTGCCGAATTCCTATGATTCCGTTTAGTGAAATTCTGTATCATTTCTAAAGGGATCTCTCTCTCTTTTTTGGAACATTTTATTCTCTTTAAAAAATAAAAAGTCAGAACAAAGACAAGAGAGCCCCTGCCTCAGCGCGGCGCACGCCTGGCTGACTTCTAGGAGAATCCCGAAGTGTACCTCATGCCGTGAGAGGGAAGAGGGGGCAGGTCCTGTCTTTGTCACCCCAAATTTCCAGGCGGCGAAGCCAGCCGCAGCTCGCCCACGCTGCAGCGCTCACCCGGCCGCACAGGCGGGGAGGATTTCTCTCTCGCGGCTGGATTTCGGTCGCGCGCGCCCTCTAGCGGCGAAGCTGATCTAACGCTCCAGGAGGCGCCGGCTCAATGAAGCAGGGTCCCCGGGGGCGCAGGCTGGGGGGGGACGCGGGTAGAAGAATCTCCTTCTTACACGCAGTTTGTGCACGAGGGAGCTACCTGGTGTGTGCACACGCGCACCTAATTTATGCCGCTCATGGGTGTGCTCTCTGGCTGCATCCACTTACCTGTGAAAGCCTCGAGTTCGTCTTCTTCTATAGCTCAGCAGCACGCCACTGGGCAACACCGCTGCCTCGATTTCATCCGTTCCTCAAGTAACTAAAAAGTGAAAGATGCTGAGAAAGGCGAAGAAACAGTTCAAAGGGAAGGAACAACTGGGACGAGGGGGAAGAGAAAGGAACGGGTCTTGCTAAGCTGCCCAGACTCGTGTGAAATTCGCAGCCGTCCTGCCTCAGCCTCCCAGAGCGAGGGCTGACAGGCCAGGTCAGCATCTCAGGGACAGAGCATGCGGCCTCGGCTGATAGATCACCCTACTGACGCCATCCAAGGAAGGCACAGCTCAAACAATTCTTAACAGAAAGCCCCGTGTGGCAGCAGATGCCTGTGAGCGGAATACTACGCTGCCAGGAAGAAGATATTTGAAGGATTTGTAGGAAAAAAGGATGCACCTGGAGACCAGCATGGTAAGTGAAACAAATCAGACACACGAGCTTAAATATAGCATTATTTCTGTTCTATGAGAAACCCCAATTATAAATAAAGATCAAAATGAAAGAGAGCCTGGTCTTGTGTAGCTAGTATAGATCTGTGAAAGAGAGAGAGACTACTCAAAGGGAAGGAACAACGCAGATGGGGGAACAGAGGAAAGAAAGAAGGGAGGAAGGAGGGGAACGTATATATGTATACACGCAGGGCAGCTTGGGTCACTGTGGGGCTGAGGCGTGCTGCTCTGCTGAAAGGAGCATTTGACGCCTAATAATGTTTTTCTTTCTTTTAATTTTTGGGCCACTTTTGCCGGCTTGTACCTGGTCAGCAGAACAGCTCATCTGAAGAGAACAGCCCTGGCTAGTTAGGCTAGATGTGCAGCTACTTTCTCTTAATGCAGTGAGTAG